GTATTATAAAAAGGAAGGACGGTATTAACCTTAGTATTATAAAGTAATAAAAAAAGAAGAAAAAAAAAAACTATAGTTATAAATAAGATTTATTATATTAATTATAATTATAGGATTTTAATTTACTAAAGTAGTAAAGTAACTTAAAGGGAAAAGTAAAGCAAAAGTAAAGTAAAAGTAAATTATAGCTAGTATATAATTATATAAAAAGCTTAAAGTTATAAAAGAAAATAAGTTAATTAAATAATACTATTACCCTACTATATAATACAGGGACTATATTATAAAAAGGGGGTATATATATAACTATAATAAATAAATATTATTATATATTATTAATTATATTATTATCTATAACTATTATACCTTTATCTATAATAATATTAATTTAAGTTACTTTACCTTTATAAACTAGTATAATAGAAAGGTTATTAACTAAGTAATCCTTAAGGTTCTTAAGCTGCTTCTAAAAGATAAATTAATAATAAAAATACTATAAAGACTAAGGAAATATATTAAAAAAAAAATAAAAAATATAATATTTATTAACTTTAGAAAATTTATAATATTTAACTATATTTTTATATTAGTAATATTATAAGTCTATGTTTAATAATAAGCTAAAGTAATACCTAATACCCTAGGAGTAGTAATTACTATAAGTATTATAATAGTAACTACTACTAAAGTTATAAATATATTATTAATACTATAAAAAGCTTTTTTATATTATTATTATAATAAATTAATAATGACCTATTATAAATTAAAATAATAATTATAATAAAAAAGTAATAATATATTAGATTTAATTAGGCTTATTAAAGTATATTTAATAATAACTACGTAGCCTAATAATATTAAGCTTAAATAAGAATATATATTTTTTACAGCTTTTATAAGTATATATTATATACTTAAGGCTAGTATTTAAAAAATAACTTAAAAAAGGATTTAATATAGAAGGGTTATAATAATAAATTTATTATATTTATATAAAGTAGAGGTTAACTTTTAATTATTTATTTATATATATAATCTAAGTAATAATAATAAAGAATAGCTTTATTTATAAATTAATTATAAAGCTAATATAAGGAAAAGAAATTAAATATATTAAATTACCTTTAAAAAGTTAACCTTTATAAAAATATTAAGTAAGTAAATTAATATAATATAGAATTTAAATAGTAAAAGTAAAAGTAATTAAAGGTAAAATTAATAATACTTTACTTTTACTATATTAAAATTTTAATAAGTTTATATTTTCTTTTACTTTTTTATTTTTTATAAAAAAGTATTAATTACTTTAAGTTATAAAGATAATAAAAAAGTATTATAAAATTATTACTATATTTAACTTCCTATTTATATTTATCTTTAAAAGTATAAAAAAAAAACCTAAAATAATAATATATTTATAGTAAAAATAAAGTAAATATAAAACTTAAATTACGTTAAGGCTTTTATATAGGTAATACCTTTAATAAAAGAAATTAATTATAAAGTTAAGAAAAGGAATATTATTAAAAGCACTAGGGTAGTACTTTAGAAAAAAGGGTAATATATTAAAGCCTATTTAAAAAAGGTATAGTTACGTAATAGCTATATACTAGCTATATTACAAAAGTATAAGCTAAAGGTTATAAAGCCTTTAGCTTAATAATAATACTATAAAGGACCTAAAATCTAAGGAAAAAATTAAAGAAAGTAGAGATAAATATAATTACTTTACTACCTTAAGCTTATATATTTACTATATAGCTTCTATAATTATCCCTTATCCCTCTTTACTCTCTTTTACTAACCTAGCTTCTAATAATATTATAAAACTATATAAATTATTTTATTATTATATACTTTAATAATATCTTTACTTATTTTAAAAACTTAAAAAAATATAAAAAATATATTAAAAAAGTATTATAAATACTTTAAAATAATAAACTCTTAGTAAAACTTAAGAAATATAACTTTTATATATAAAAAGTTATATTCTTAAAATATATTATTACCCTAGGTAAAGTTTAAATAAACCTTAAGAAACTTAAGGTAATTAATAATTAAAAGCTACTTAAAAATATTAAGTAAATATAAAGCTTTTTAAGATTTACTAATTATTATTAATACTTTATTAAAGATTTTTTAAAAATTATTATACTACTTATAAATTTTATAAAAAAAGATATTAAATTTAAATTAATATAAAACGCTTTAACTATTTTTAAATACCTTAAATAAACCTTTATAAATACACTAGTATTTATAATATTTAACCTAAATAAACCTATTATAATTAAAACTAATACTTTAGATTATATAATTAAAGGAGTACTTAGTTAGCTAAATAAAAAAGGGAAATTTAGGCTTATTACCTATTTTTTTTAAAAAACTATATAAGCTAAAATTTAAATATTTTATTTATAATAAAAAGTTTATAGCTATATATTAAGCACTTAGTAAATAATATTAAAAATACTACTATAAAAGAAGTTAATTTTTAATAATAATTCTTATAAACTATTAGAATATTACTTACTTTATAATAATATATAAACTATTTTATAAATAAGTTAAGTACTATAAGTAACTTTTTAAATTTAAGCTTATTATTAAATACTATAGTAAATTAAATAATAAATATACTAATATACTTAGTAAATACTTAAATTACTTTTAGGAAATATTAAAAGTTAAAGTATAAATACTAAAGAAAAACTAATATAAAAACTTAGTTATTTAATTAATTAATACCTTATACTAAATTAAAATAAATAACTTAATTATTAATAATATAAAGGAATATATTAAAAACTAAAAAAATAAATAATATTTAGAAGGTATTTTTATAAATATAAAATACCTAATACTAAATAAACTTATTTAAGTACTAAAAGATTTATAAAGTAAAGTTATAAAATTAGTCTATATATATAAGCTTAATAAATACTATAAAATTAAAAAAACTATATAATAAGTTAAATAATACTTTAAATTTAAAAATATTAAAATATAAATATAAAAAATTATATTAAAATATATAATATATAAATAAGCTAAAAGCTTTAAATATAAGCTATATAAATAACTATAATTATTACTTATACTACAGAGATTATAAAAATTAATTTTATTTAACTTAATTACTAAACTACTTTTTTTAAAAGAATTAGTTATAAAGGTACTTTATAATAGTATTTTTATAATAGTTAATAAACTTATAAAAATAGCCTACTTTATATTATTTAAAAAAGCTAGTAATATAGAAGAACTAGCTTATATAATAATAAAATATATTATAAGTAATTATAAACTACTAGAAGATATAATCTTTAATAGGGGAAATATATTTATATTTAAATTTTAAAAAGTATTTATAGCTAGATTAAAAATAAATTATAAGGCTAGTATAACCTACTACCTATAGATAGATAGATAAATAGAAAAAATTAATTAAATAATTAAGATATACCTATGCTATTATATTAATTTTAAATAAAATAACTAAGTAAAACTACTCTTTATTATATAACTTATATATAATAGTACAGAATCTAAATTAACTAGGAAATTACTATTCTTCCTAAACTATAAATTTAAACCTAAAGCTTACTAATTACTAAAATAAAGGGAAAATATTAAAAAAGCTATAATTAAAGTAAAAGATATAATTAAATTATATAATAAACTATAATAATAACTTAAATTTATTTAATAAAGAATAATTAAATACATAAATAAAAACAGGCTTAAAGGACTAACCTTTTAAAAAAAGGATATAATTTAGCTTTACTAATATATATAAGGAAATAAATAAGTAAATATTAAAATAAATAGGCTAAGTAATAAACTTAATTTTAAGAAACTTAGACCTTATAAAATTTTAAAAAAAATTAAAAAAATAAATTATAAACTTAAACTTCTAAAATAATAGGAAAAACAAGGGAAATATATATATTTAATATTCTATATCTCCCTATTAAAAAAAGTATAAATTAATAAAAAAATTAAAAAATTTATTTAAAATAAAATTATTATTAAAAAAAAGGAAGAAAAATATAATATAAAAGATATTAATATAATAAAAATAGGAAAAGATAGTAAATAATACTATAGGGTATAATAAGAAAAAGGGGAAAAAAAAGAAAAAATATAAAAACTTATTAAATATCTTAAGAACTTAATAGCATTAGTAGAAAAACTTTATTAAAGCCTANGGATTATACTAACTTAAGATTTATTACTAATATCCTTAAATAATCTACTAACTTTAACAAAGTAAAGATAACTTTAAAAAAACCCTTTACTAATTATATTATAATAACTTAATAAACAGCCTCCGCCTCCTTATACTTAACCTTATCTAGCTTATTTAAATTAGTAATACCCTATATAATAGTATAATATATTTACTTATACTAAATTTTCTTTTATTTTTATAATTAAAAAACCTTTATAACTAACTTAGCTAAAGTATCCTTAGTAAATTTAAACTTATCCTTTAAATAAAAATATTAAGTAAATACCTAATCTAACTAATTAATAGTTAAACCTCTTACGTTATAATATAATTTATTTAATTATATATAATTAAAATATTATAAAAAATTATTTAAAGATAATAAATATTTATTAAATTTTTTTAAAATACAGAAGAAATAATACTTATTTATTTTATTAATACCTTTAAAAATAGATTTAAATAAACTCTTCTACTTCTAAGTTTTAAAATATAAAGCTTTAAAAATATAGTTTATTATAATTAAGTAAGTTACTATATAAAAATAATAAATATAAAATAAAAAGCACTTATTAATAAATAAGTAAGAAATATACTACTTATAGTAAGGTCTTAAGGATAAGACTAATAAAAAGGGGATATTATATTATAACCTAGATTTTATAATTATAATAACAGGCCTATAGGTTAAATAATTATAAATAAACATTAAACTAACTAATTAATTAAATATAGATTATTAAATTATTTAATAATCTAATAATCTATAAGCTAGATTATTAGAAATTCTAATAATCTAAGGTAGAATTATTAAACTTTTTAATAATCTAGCCTAGTTAACTAAGTATATAAGTTTACTTTATATTACTTATTAGAATACTTAAATAGCTAGTTATTATTAATACAATAGCATTTAGATTAAACACTTAGATACTTCTCTTTACAGCTAATAATAAAATTACCTATTACTAACCTAATTGCTCCGCTAATATAAACTATAAAACTACTTTAAGGTTTATCCCTTAGAAATAGCTAACCTATACTAACCTATAGGACCCAGTTCGTTACAATATATTATAAAATTCTTTTTTTTCCTTTAGTTAATATTATTACTAAAGTAAAAGTATTTAGGAATTATTTTTTAAGGATTTCTTTTTTACTTATATTTTTAATATTATTAAAATTATTATTTATTAATATAAGTAGCTTTTTTTATAAGTTTATTAAAAATATTAGGTTTTTTATTTTTAATAAATTTATTTTTAATATTTAAGTTAAGTCCTTATTAGTAAAGTATATATTATACTTTATTATTTAGGTTAATCTTAGTAACTAAGTATATAAAAGTAGTAGTATACTTTATATAAGGTTTTTTTTATTTAATTTAAAAAAGTATATTTTTAGCTTTTTTAAATTTATTAATTTCTTTATATAGTTTTTTAAGCTATTTTTTAAATATAATATAATTTATAAATAAGTTAAGTATATACTATTTCTTAAGAGTTTTAGTTTACTTATAATCCTTTAGGTAAAGTTTAAATTAATTTTTAATAGTTTTAGTTAAATAGCTTTCTATAGTTTAAATTTTTATAATATTATTAGCTATAGTAGTTAAAAAATAACTAAAGTAGTTTTTTATATTAATAAAAAACTTCTAAATTTATTTTAGGTTTTTTTTTAAATTTATTTAATAATACTAGTTTAATAATTACTTTAGGTTTTTATTATTATACTACAGGGGCTAGGTTTACTATAAGGTTTACTATTAATTATACTATTAGTAATTATCCTTACTATTAACTTTATAATATTTAAAGTTATTTTACAAATTATTATATAATAGTAATTTATTATTATATAAAAGTTTCTAAATTTATAAGTTTTATTATAGTAGTATATTTTTATTATACTTTAGTAAAATCTTTATAAATCTTATTAAGGTTAACGTCCTGTATTTAGTCAGTTATTGTATTTTATTACCTATAGGTCTAAGGTAACTGTTTAAATAAAAGTTATTATTATATAATAAACCAGGTCCTATAGGTACTATAGGTTAGCTATTTCTAAAGAATAAACCTTAGAGTAGTTTTATAGTTTATATTAGTAAAGCAGTTAGGTTAGTAAATAAGTAAACTTATTACTAATTATAAAGTAAAGTATCTAAATATTTAATCTAATTACTATAATAATAACTAGCTATTTAAGTATTTTAATAAATAATATAAAGTAGACTTATATATTTAGTTATATATTCTAAATTATATTAAAAAGCTAGCTTTCCTAGCTTTCTTACGATAGATTATTTAAAAAGCTAGTTTTCTTAGCTTTTTTATTAAGGAGTACTAATTATCCTAATTAGTCCGTTGGCCTATAGTTAATCTAGTTCTAGCTAACCTATTAGCCTATTATTATAACCTTAAGAGTTAGGTTGTAATAGAGGGGGAGAATTATATTATAACCTAACTTTTAAGGTTATAATAATAGGTTAATAGGTTAGCCGGAACTGGATTAACTATAAACTAATAGATTAATTAAGACTATTAATATTCTTTAATAGGAAAGTTAGAAAAGCTAGTTTTTTAAATAATTTACTATTATAACAAGCTGAGCTCCTATAGTGTTAGTATAAGAGGAATTCCCAAGGGACAAACCTTATACTAGGTTTATGTTAGCGGATAGGCTAGGCTGGACTAGCGGGCAATTAACAAAGATAAAAGGGGTTTATTTACACAATTAGTAGATAATACTTTATAGGTATAATTAAGCATTATTCTATATTTACAACTAGCTATTTAAACTATTTTAATAAGTAATATAAAGTAAACTTATATATTTAGTTAGTTCTAGGCTCGTATAGCTCGTAAGATAAGCATAAAGAGTATAAGCTCGCTGAGCTCGTTGAATAAGTAAGACAAGCGGGGCCTGATTAGCTACTTAGATTATGGTTAATCCGGTCGCACCTGGTCGGTTGGCCTATTATCGCAACTATAAGTATTAGGTCGTAATATAATGTCCCCCTTCCGTTAGTCTTATCCTTAAGACCTTGCTCCTTATAGTATAAGTAACCCACTTCCCTTCTTATAAGTCCTTACCTAGTTCCTTTATTCTTTATTTACTTAGTATCTAATTATCGCAATTATACCGACTAAATCTAAAGAGCGTAAAACTAATAAATAAAAGTAGTATAGTAATCTTTACTTATTAATATTATTTTACTTAGTTAAAATAAACAAATGTTCTACTTACGAATCCTTGGGTACGGAGTGTTTTTTCTTAGAGGGTGAATCCTTTTATTATTTAGCTTATATTATTAGTTAAAAATCCCTTTGTAATACTAAACAACTTTCTCCTATACAGTTTTATAAGGTAGCTGCTTAATATATTAAGTTAAAAGCAGTAATTAAAGCGGCTAAAGAAGAGTATAAGTAAGAGCTTAAATATCTTCGTTTAGCTAGTGCAAAGGTTAAACGCCTTCGTAAGGAGAAGAAATAATAGTATTAAAAGATAATATGTGCTATTACGCAGGGTATTAATAACTTAAATAAGTTAGATAGGGTTAAGTATACGGAAGCGGAGGCCTTATATTAGGCTAAAATATTATTACCTAATCCTACTAACCCCGTAACTCCAGGTCTAAAGGCTGTTAATATTAATTTCTTTTCTAACGTTAATTTAGGGTCCTTAGATCCTAATCTTCTTACCTTAATGGGGGGTATTCCCTTATCGCCATCCTAGGTGTTTTTGCAGGTCGTTTAGGTTCTTCCTGTATTAGTTCTTATTATACTTACAGTCGTTTATGGAGTTTATTTTAGAAGGTTTTTAAGGTAGTGCTAGTGTATTCGAAATTACTTTCTGGTTCCCAGCTGTCTATATTTCTGTCGTATCCTTTCTATTTTACTAAGTATTGGAGTTTACCAGTTACTTTATTTATTTTTAGTAATATTATTTTATTAACTTTGTATTTAAGTTCTTTATCTTTAATAACGATTTTATCCTTAATAAGTTCTCCTGTGTCTTTATTTATTAGTGCTTTTTTTAATAGTAAGATATAAAAAATCAGGTGTACTGGTTTTCCTCGTTTACTTAGTTACTTTAGGAGGTCTAGTTTATAGTTAACTTTGCTGATT